CTTTTTATCAAAACCTGTATATTCCGTCAGGCAGCTGCCATTTTGGCCATTTTCAGTAGTCACGTGATGGTCGTGACGTCATCCATGCGTTCACTTTGTAAACACACGAAAACATGGCGGAGTATTTGAGTTCGGACTCGTCAGCCGAGGAAGAAGTTTTGAGCAATGTGGAGAGATTGGATGGGGGAATTCAGCCATACAGGTTTGAGCCAAGTAGTCAGAACCGTCAGGAATCCAGGGACAGTGACTATAAGGATGAACAGCACGGTGATCTTGCTGGAGACGATCCCTTTACTCGTGCAATTGATTTCGGGAGGCGAGTAGGAAGACCTGTACATGAATGGTGTACTTGCGATCGGTGTGTAGCCATGGACAATCCTCTTATGAACATATGTTGTCAAGAGCTTGAAAATAAACTGTTCACAGACGACTTGGATTGCATATGTTTACACAGGGATGCATGTAGTACCACCCTTGCTAGCGATTCCCTCTCTAGTTTAGCATACTCAGCCTTGTTGTTCCTGGCCCTAGAACCACGATTTTATGGGGCCGGAAAAACTGGAGAAAAGTACCCGCTAGCCGGTGTTGCAGTATAACGTGAGTCATGACAACTGGCGACATTCTATTATTTTCGTCATAGGAATCGGGGGCGTGTACATTGAGGACCCATTGTTGAGTTCAAAATATTGCAAACTTGAATAAATCATTTAAATTATATATTTGTGTCCGACTTTCATTTGTACATCGTTATTAATGTGATCTATAGTAGCTTTGATAGCTGTCCATACCTTCAGACAGCCTAAAAGTAAAACACAAGTCGTTTATTCACAGCCCGAACGCTCATCGACATGACTGGATCACTCATGACAGGTTGTGATCAGCTCCGAATAAATTGTGATATAGATGCTGTAGCTATTCTCCAGGGAGCACATTTTTTTAATGAAATACCTGTATCCCTCTCATCACAACAAGACTCTACACTCTGCAGGAAAAACAATTACATACATGAAAATAACCTTGATGCATGGGAATGAAACACACTGGCTATACTGATATGTCACAGAACGGTAAACTACAGAAAAGTAAGTCCAGCGGGGCACACGTTGAATACATATAATACAGTAGTTCTATTATGCCTTTAAGCCTATACGTTTAACCCATAACAACCCGGACCCATTTCTACTTTGGGGGAAATTAAGGGGAACGTCATTTAGACTAAATAGACCTAGAACACATTTCTGACAAGTAACCCCCCCTAGTGTCAAATATCTGAAATGTGACATATGTGTCACATTGGGCTTTAATGGTAAAGTAACTCTTATTTATAACTTCATGAATGAGGATGATTTTTTGGTTTCCATTTGTTTGAACATACTTTAAATTGAATAATAAAGAATATGTTAACTAAATATAATTGAATCAGCTAAATTAACTGAGCAGATCATAATCATATTTGTAATTGTGCATATATGTCACTCCGGGTTTACTGTGAATGTTTAGGGTTAATGTCCCGATGTGACATCAGTGTCACAGCAATATTTATGGCATTTGTTTCATATCAATTTCATCAATAAATGTTTCTACAACAGGTTATATGTAATCAGAATCAGAAAAGAGCCGAAGACAGCTTAATGTTTAACAAATGACATGTCATGTAAGCATTTTTATTCTTAAATGGCTTGAATGTTAACTTTGGCAACAAAAAACCTTTCCAAATGTAGCTAGTTCTGTCACATGTGTTAGCCTGGCACATGGACATCTTGGACATGTTGTTATGGGAACACAAAAGCAAATGACAAGGACCATAACCCACCAGACTGTTCAGTGTGTGTCACTGAGGGACTTCATGAGATAAAAAAGGCTAAAGCTGTATAAGGAACTTTCCAGAACATTTAAAGTTCATGTGACACCTGTGTCTAAGCAATTCTGTCTGCCTTCCGTGTTGCACCATGAGGACCCACTGATATAAAATGTTTAACTGTCTAAGTTGCAACCATGCACTTTTTGGAGGGCTAAGCGCCAGCTTGACATATGTTTCGCTTCATTTATAGAAGGAAAGACAACAGTGATAGTTATGTTTCAGAATAACATTTATTGGAAATTGTTAGAACAATCTCACTGGTCACCGGCTTGAGCTTCAATCTCAGGATCCATGTATTTGTGATCAAAAGTAGGCTAATATAAAAGTAGTGTAGATCATTACATTTCAGAGACAGTAATATTGTAATGTAACGTAGCCTATTACTTAAAAAAGACAGTAATAAGTAATGTACTGTATTACATTTTGGAAGTAATTTGCCAACACTGCAGATGATCCAGTCATCTCGATGCTGCTTTCGGGCTGTGAATAAACAACTTGTGTTTTACTTTTAGGCTGTCTGAAGGTATGGACAGCTATCAAAGCTACTATACATCACATTAAGAACGATGTACAAATGTTTTATATGTATTCAACTTGTGCCCCGCTGGACTTACGTTTCTGTGGTTGACCGTTACTGTGACATCAGTATAGCCACGGAAGATAGTTTGTGTGATTCATTCCCATGCATCAAGGTTATTTTCATGTATGTAATTGTTTTTCCTGCACAGTGTAGAGTCTTGTTGTGATGAGAGGGATACAGGTATTTCATAAAAAAAACGGGCTCCCTGGAGAATAGCTACAGCATTTATATCACAATTTAATCGGAGCTGATCACAACTTGTCATGAGTGATCCAGTCATGTCGATGAGCGTTCGGGCTGTGAATAAACGACTTGTGTTTTACTTTTAGGCTGTCTGAAGGTATGGGCAGCTATCAAAGCTACTATAGATCACATTAATAACGATGTACAAATGAAAGTCGGACACAAATATATAATTTAAATTATTTATTCAAGTTTGCAATATTTTGAACAGGCATCCACACAGTCACCTACTTTGTAATGTTCGATACCTCCCTGTAAGCGTCACGATATCCACCTCTCACCCACAACCTCACATACGAGTACTGAATGTGCATCAAAGTGATCTTAGGAAGGCAGATATAGCAAAAGATGAACGTAAACGACAAACGAGGCGATCGACATGGTAAGTCAACAATGGGTCCTCAATGTACACGCCCCGGATTCCTATGACGAAAATAATAGAATGTCGCCAGTTGTCATGACTCACGTTATACTGCAACACCGGTACTACACTATATGGAAAGGCCACCAAAAACTGGCCTGGCCTGGCTGCTAAAGGACGTTTAAACGGGGCTACCCGCTGCAATGGAAATGCGCCATAACATACCTTATTCTTACTCCTAGCACTACTTCTGGTCCTCCGTCGCTTCAGAGGGCGATTTCTCAACTGGCCGAACTGGTGTCCTGGTCGGTGATGACACCAGAAAGACCGATGGCACTGCATCTCCATTAAGTAATGGTTGTTTAATAAATCCCATTTTATGTTTTTATCATACTCTCAGAATAGTCGTCCGGAAACTTGAAATGTTCGCTGCATACATGCGCCTGTGGATCTTTCGGTTCGGGTCGAGCACATTTCGCTAGCCACTGCCTCCGAACGTACTTCCTACGCTTACCTTTTGGCAATAGATGGAACCGAGCATTCCGTGGATTGTTCCTATCTGAATTGTGGCAATGTTTACAATGAGGCATATTTCTATAGAATTGAGAGAGTAACTAGAGTAAATAACATGAACATCAATTTGTCCTCGACACCAAACGCATAGTTTACGTCACTTCCGGTAAAATGGCGCCGCCCACAGGGTTGATGTTATTTCGGTAATTAATCAGTTTAAAATCACTGATAACGTCATCGGATTAAAAAAAAAAAAAAAAAGACTGGCAGAGACTGGTCTGTTTTATCGGATGATAATTATTTAAAAATGCGTGTCATGAGCATTCCCTCCCTTTAAGTAAAATACATTCAAATGTAGTCAAGTTAAATGTAAAATATTTGCCTTCGACTTATATTTTAGTGAAAGCATTAAGTAGCATAAACTAGAAACACTCCAAAATAGTACTAAAGTATAGTACTTGAGTTAATGTCCTTCTAAAGGTGAATGTCTCCACACTTACACCATAGTCGAGGCTACGTACTAGAGCGGTTTCTGTCTTCAGCTGCCCACGTTATCTGAGATTAGACATCAGTATGAGCAGGACACGATGTAAGAGTTCTGTAAGGCTACATTTATTAGAGATATGAACACTTCCTCAGATATCAGAAGGATTTATCAGTTGCTTAAGAATCTGGTACTGTTTCTTGCAAAATTACGTAAGTCAATTTGAACTGCATGTTTTGAATCAAGATCAGCTTTTTTAATCTAACATTCATGGGTGTGTTACTTAAGGATTTATCCCAGACAAGTGATCCTGATCCTGGAATTCAGCTTATTAAGTCAAGGCCTTTCAACATCATGGCTTTTTTGAGAGCCATGAATCTGTGAAGAAGAGCTTGATCTTTCACGAAGTAGTGAAATGCAAACCCAAAAATGTATAGAGCCAGTAATGTTTTGATTGTGTTTTTTTCTGAATTTGCTAAGAGCTTTCAAATCTCTCTGTTCTTCTTTCGTTTAGTTTGCCTTGACGTCATTGCTTGCTTGTTCTATCTTTACACACACACACACACACACACACACACACACACACACACACACACACACACACACACACACACACACACACACACACACACACACACACACACACACACACATCCTTGTGCAACTCAATTGTGGGGCCCGAACTGATTTTACCCAATTGTGGGGTCCACCCTTTCCAACTATACTAGACCTCCGTAAAAAATCAGGCAATATAGAAAAACTATTATAATCACACAAATCACTTGAAATAAACATAATTCCAAGCTTTTGTCATTATGCTAGTTTTTTACCCACTTAGTGGGGCCCAGTTTCTAGCAGTCAGCACTTATGAGGTCCATTATACACACACACACACACACACACGCACACACACACACACATATTTCTAGTTTTCATATCTTGGAAGGGATCAGACACACACATATTTCTAGTTTTCATATCTTGGAAGGGATCAGAGTTACTAGAGACATTATTGAGTTGAATGGACTTTCCTTGTTACCAAAAAAACTGCAGAACAGCATCATGAACATTTACATTCTACTTTGATATTTTTTACACCAACAAATTCACATTGCTGGTAAAATAAGTTATTACTTAGGTGATTAGCCTCATCTTAACATAGAATATAACTCGACAGTAGACATGGCAGTAACATTGAAACACCATGGAGACCAAATCAATAATCCCCTAAAGATCCTTTTCGTTCAACATTGTTTTTTCTTAGAGGCAACAATTAGTAATTCTTGAGAAAAAAGTATAATAATATAAACTCTCTACAACATTATTTTAATGCTATAAATATTTATTTTTATATTATTGGGGTGTTTCTATATCGTTAAAACAAAATGTACAACTTGACCAATCCCATGACCCAAAAAACAAAACAAACAGGCCTAACAAATCAGTAGACTTTTACCTCCTTTTGAGTTACATTTAACAAGGACATATTCTGGTCATTTTGAGGTTCAAATGTGTATAAAGTTTCTCTACTGTGAAATGTTTCCATGCTTCAATGAGGGATTTTAGACTTTGAAAAACATTTACATGCACAAAAATATATTTTCTACACTACATGAGAGGGAAAACCCTAAAAGCAAAAAAGGAAATCTTTGAAAACATGGATGATTCTTTCTCGCAGCATAATCGGAATGCAATTGATTTCCTTTTAATTTATATTAGTTGACGATTCAAAGATGAAAATTTGGTTTGGTTTAGGTAAAGCCCCTAGTTTTGGTAGTGGTACTTGAAATCCTTCTTTCAACATTGAACGTATTTTTCCTTGGTTCAATTTTATTTCATTTACATTCGGAGAGAAGAAATTGAAATGTTCATGTAATACTTAACGGCTCCCCAGTCCCTATTTGTTAGGGCTTGAGGTTCGGCAGAGATACAATTCTTACATGCATCTTTCCCTGGAACCTGGTTCTTGATTGTCCATTTCGTAACCCAAGTGTTGTTCCACAGCAGCACTTTCTGCTGACGTCCAGCTGCGTTTCACAAACGTTTGTTTCCCTAGGTGGACAAATAATAACATGTCATAGGTTTAAGAAGTTTAAGAGCCAGTTATTATCATACAGTTAAGAATCTTATAAAACATTTAAAAAGTACCCATATTGCAGATCTGAAAGAATGTTAATGGTGCGACACCTTCTGATCACTTTATTCCATCACAATCAGACACGCCATTTTGTTTGGTACTAAGAGTTTGATTATCAACAAAGTGATTGGTCAATTTATCTGTAAGCTCCCATTCATTGTGCAGATACAAACTAGCGTCTGGCATAATTTATAGAATTGATCAAAGTTACAAAATGGTATTCCAGAAGATGTCCGTGTGGCTCATTTACAGTCCTGCTCCAGTGTAGTTTGTGACATCCAAGGCAAATACTTAAAAATGTCTAATTAAATCTATTATGTCTCCTGCTATGTTGCAGAGTAAATGAATACACTTAATTTATTACAGACAGAATACTTACTTAAATGTACATAATAATACATGTAAACATTGTAAAATGTAAAAGGTCTTATCTTGGTACATAGTGAAAAGGAAAGAATAAACATATTGTGGAGACGGCTCCATATTACTGAATTACCTCGGTAGTAGCACAGTCACTGTTTGATGCTTATGTAGACATAAAGTTCCAAGGAGAGCGTCTCGTCCTCAACTCCCTCCCTGGATTAGTCTGCCCGTTTGTCACCTGGAACTGAGATACAAAAAGAATGCACTAAGAAGATAGTAACCATGCATATAATCATTAGTTGCTGAAGTTAGCTAAATGACAAACTATCTGAAACTGGATTTGGATCAAAACAAAGGCATGGCATTATGTAGTCCTGTGGTCTCAATACATTTTACAATATCAAAAAGGAGTTGCAATGGACTGCTTTCAAATGACCCTTTCAAACATGCACAGGCTCAGGAAGTGTAGAATTATACATACAATGACCTACTATTAGATGTGATAAAGGTACTTTAGAAATAATTGTATTCATTTTAGGTCCTAACCAAACGGGAGGGCCCCATAAGGACAAGACTAGAAACAAGTGTGTGTGACAGGTTTCTGTAACTATTCCCATCGAGGCTAACGTAAATGATAACCGTTTGAACCATGCTTATGCTCACAAAGTGTTAACTTACGCCTACAACAACTTGAGTTTAGATTCTAAACGGTGTTGCACAAATGTTTTTAAATGACTTTAAGTTATAACCAAACGGGAGGGCCCCATAAGGACAAGACTAGAAACCAGTATGTGTGACAGGTTTAAGTAACTACTCCCATCGAGGCTAAGGTAAATGATAACCGTTTTAACCATGCTTATGCTCACAAAGTGTTAACTTACACCTACAACAACTAGAGTTTAGATTCTAAAAGGTGTTGCACAAATGTTTTAAAATTAATTTAAGTTATAACCAAACGGGAGGGCCCCATAAGGACAAGACTAGAAACCAGTGTGTGTGACAGTTTTATGTAACTACTCCCATCGAGGCTAAGGTAAATGATAACAGTTTTAGCCATGCTTATGCTCACAAAGTGTTAACTTACGCCTACAACAATTAGAGTTTAGATTCTAAAAGGTGTTGCACAAATGTTTTAAAATTATTTTAAGTTATAACCAAACGGGAGGGCCCCATAAGGACAAGACTAGAAACCAGTGTGTGTGACAGGTTTATGTAACTACTCCCATCGAGGCTAAGGTAAATGATAACCGTTTTAGCCATGCTTATGCTCACAAAGTGTTAACTTACGCCTACAACAACTAGAGTTTAGATTCTAAAAGGTGTTGCACAAATGTTTTAAAATTACTTTAAGTTATAACCAAACGGGAGGGCCCCATAAGGACAAGACTAGAAACCAGTGTGTGTGACAGGTTTAATTAACAAATCCCATTATAGCTATTCTAAAAATATGTTCAATTTAGTCTCCTCAGTCAGATCTACACAAATCACTCAATTAGTAACAGGATTAAAGCTGTATCAGAAAAGAGTTTTAAAAAAAAAAGGTCCTCTCTTGAAAAGGACAACATTAACATATTGTGGAGACAGCTCCATATTACTGAATTACCTCGGTAGTAGCACAGTCACTTGTTGATGTTTCGGGGAAAGTCAAGTCTAAGGGGAGCCTCTCCTCCTCAACTCCCTCTGGATTAGTCTGCCCGTTTGTCACCTGGAACTGAGATACAACAAGAATGCACTAAGAAGATAGTAACCATGTATATACTTATTAGTTGCTGAAGTTAGCTACATGACAAACTATCTGAAACTGGATTTGGATCAAAACAAAGGCATGGCATTATTTAGTCCTGTAGTCTCAATACATTTTACAATATCAAAAAGGGGTTGCAATGGACTGCTTTCAAATTACCCTTTCAAAAATGCATAGGCTCAGGAAGTGTAGAATTATACATACAATGACCTACTATTAGATGTTAAAAAGGTACTTTAGAAATCTTTTAATTCATTTTAAGTTATAACCAAACGGGAGGGCCTCATAAGGACAAGACTAGAAACAAGTGTGTGTGACAGGTTTCTGTAACTACTCCCAGCGAGGCTAAGGTAAATGATAACCGTTTTAACCATGCTTATGCTCACAAAGTGTTAACTTACGCCTACAACAACTTGAGTTTAGATTCCAAAAGGTGTTGCACAAATGTTTTTAAATGACTTTAAGTTATAACCAAACGGGAGGGCCCCATAAGGACAAGACTAGAAACCAGTATGTGTGACAGGTTTAAGTAACTACTCCCATCGAGGCTAAGGTAAATGATAACCGTTTTAACCATGCTTATGCTCACAAAGTGTTAACTTACACCTACAACAACTAGAGTTTAGATTCTAAAAGGTGTTGCACAAATGTTTTTAAATGACTTTAAGTTATAACCAAACGGGAGGGCCCCATAAGGACAAGACTAGAAACCAGTGTGTGTGACAGGTTTAAGTAACTACTCCCATCGAGGCTAAGGTAAATGATAACCGTTTTAATCATGCTTATGCTCACAAAGTGTTAACTTACACCTACAACAACTAGAGTTTAGATTCTAAAAGGTGTTGCACAAATGTTTTAAAATTACTTTAAGTTATAACCAAACGGGAGGGCCCCATAAGGACAAGACTAGAAACCAGTGTGTGTGACAGGTTTCTGTAACTACTCCCATCGAGGCTAAGGTAAATGATAACCATTTTAGCCATGCTTATGCTCACAAAGTGTTAACTTACGCCTACAACAACTAGAGTTTAGATTCTAAAAGGTGTTGCACAAATGTTTTAAAATTATTTTAAGTTATAACAAAATGGGAGGGCCCCATAAGGACAAGACTAGAAACCAGTGTGTGTGACAGGTTTAAGTAACTACTCCCATCGAGGCTAAGGTAAATGATAACCGTTTTAATCATGCTTATGCTCACAAAGTGTTAACTTACACCTACAACAACTAGAGTTTAGATTCTAAAAGGTGTTGCACAAATGTTTTAAAATTACTTTAAGTTATAACCAAACGGGAGGGCCCCATAAGGACAAGACTAGAAACCAGTATGTGTGACAGGTTTAAGTAACTACTCCCATCGAGGCTAAGGTAAATGATAACCGTTTTAACCATGCTTATGCTCACAAAGTGTTAACTTACACCTACAACAACTAGAGTTTAGATTCTAAAAGGTGTTGCACAAATGTTTTAAAATTAATTTAAGTTATAACCAAACGGGAGGGCCCCATAAGGACAAGACTAGAAACCAGTGTGTGTGACAGGTTTATGTAACTACTCCCATCGAGGCTAAGGTAAATGATAACAGTTTTAGCCATGCTTATGCTCACAAAGTGTTAACTTACGCCTACAACAATTAGAGTTTAGATTCTAAAAGGTGTTGCACAAATGTTTTAAAATTATTTTAAGTTATAACCAAACGGGAGGGCCCCATAAGGACAAGACTAGAAACCAGTGTGTGTGACAGGTTTATGTAACTACTCCCATCGAGGCTAAGGTAAATGATAACCGTTTTAGCCATGCTTATGCTCACAAAGTGTTAACTTACGCCTACAACAACTAGAGTTTAGATTCTAAAAGGTGTTGCACAAATGTTTTAAAATTACTTTAAGTTATAACCAAACGGGAGGGCCCCATAAGGACAAGACTAGAAACCAGTGTGTGTGACAGGTTTAATTAACAAATCCCATTATAGCTATTCTAAAAATATGTTCAATTTAGTCTCCTCAGTCAGATCTACACAAATCACTCAATTAGTAACAGGATTAAAGCTGTATCAGAAAAGAGTTTTAAAAAAAAAAGGTCCTCTCTTGAAAAGGACAACATTAACATATTGTGGAGACAGCTCCATATTACTGAATTACCTCGGTAGTAGCACAGTCACTTGTTGATGTTTCGGGGAAAGTCAAGTCTAAGGGGAGCCTCTCCTCCTCAACTCCCTCTGGATTAGTCTGCCCGTTTGTCACCTGGAACTGAGATACAACAAGAATGCACTAAGAAGATAGTAACCATGTATATAATTATTAGTTGCTGAAGTTAGCTACATGACAAACTATCTGAAACTGGATTTGGATCAAAACAAAGGCATGGCATTATTTAGTCCTGTAGTCTCAATACATTTTACAATATCAAAAAGGGGTTGCAATGGACTGCTTTCAAATTACCCTTTCAAACATGCATAGGCTCAGGAAGTGTAGAATTATACATACAATGACCTACTATTAGATGTTAAAAAGGTACTTTAGAAATCTTTTAATTCATTTTAAGTTATAACCAAACGGGAGGGCCTCATAAGGACAAGACTAGAAACAAGTGTGTGTGACAGGTTTCTGTAACTACTCCCAGCGAGGCTAAGGTAAATGATAACCGTTTTAACCATGCTTATGCTCACAAAGTGTTAACTTACGCCTACAACAACTTGAGTTTAGATTCCAAAAGGTGTTGCACAAATGTTTTTAAATGACTTTAAGTTATAACCAAACGGGAGGGCCCCATAAGGACAAGACTAGAAACCAGTATGTGTGACAGGTTTAAGTAACTACTCCCATCGAGGCTAAGGTAAATGATAACCGTTTTAACCATGCTTATGCTCACAAAGTGTTAACTTACACCTACAACAACTAGAGTTTAGATTCTAAAAGGTGTTGCACAAATGTTTTTAAATGACTTTAAGTTATAACCAAACGGGAGGGCCCCATAAGGACAAGACTAGAAACCAGTGTGTGTGACAGGTTTAAGTAACTACTCCCATCGAGGCTAAGGTAAATGATAACCGTTTTAATCATGCTTATGCTCACAAAGTGTTAACTTACACCTACAACAACTAGAGTTTAGATTCTAAAAGGTGTTGCACAAATGTTTTAAAATTACTTTAAGTTATAACCAAACGGGAGGGCCCCATAAGGACAAGACTAGAAACCAGTGTGTGTGACAGGTTTCTGTAACTACTCCCATCGAGGCTAAGGTAAATGATAACCATTTTAGCCATGCTTATGCTCACAAAGTGTTAACTTACGCCTACAACAACTAGAGTTTAGATTCTAAAAGGTGTTGCACAAATGTTTTAAAATTATTTTAAGTTATAACAAAATGGGAGGGCCCCATAAGGACAAGACTAGAAACCAGTGTGTGTGACAGGTTTATGTAACTACTCCCATCGAGGCTAAGGTAAATGATAACCGTTTGAACCATGCGTATGCTCACAAAGTGTTAACTTACGCCTACAACAACTTGAGTTTAGATTCCAAAAGGTGTTGCACAAATGTTTTTAAATGACTTTAAGTTATAACCAAACGGGAGGGCCCCATAAGGACAAGACTAGAAACCAGTGTGTGTGACAGGTTTAAGTAACAAATCCCATTATAGCTAGTCTAAAAATATGTTCAATTTAGTTTCTTCAGTCAGATCTACACAAATCACTCAATTAGTAACAGGATTAAAGCTGTATCAGAAAATAGTTTTTTTTTTTTTAAAGGTCCTCTCTTGAAAAGGACAACATTAACATATTGTGGAGACAGCTCCATATTACTGAATTACCTCAATATCAAAAAGGGGTTGCAATGGACTGCTTTCAAATTACCCTTTCAAACATGCACAGGCTTAGGAAGTGTAGAATTATACGTGCAATGAACCTATAACACAAGAATGCACTAAGAGAAGATCTCAAAAGGTATAGCTATCCAATGATAAACAAATTAATCACGTACTATAATTATTTGGACGGAAACAATAAAATGTGTTGAATCACGCGTTATTGTTGAGTTATATGTGTAAATGTACCTGTTTGCGCAAAGGCCAGTCAGCATCCCCGTAACTGCAGGTTATTTCTTCTTCTGGGGAGTTGTCTCTGCAAACAGGCAGAGATGTGGCATCCAATCAATGACAATAGTTTTCATCTTGCAGTTTGGTGTTTGCCCAGTAACTTGTCTTCAAGAGATGCATCAAGGGGTCAAGACTTAAATAAATAGAGATTGAATGTTAGTAGTATAATTTGCATACTTGGATTGGATACAGTGTTGAAAGTAACATTTAAAAAGAAAAATAATAATTATTATTATAGACTTCAGAAAACACCGTCCAGAACCCGCCCCCCTTCACCTCAATGGAGAGAGAGTGGAGAGGGTCCCCACCTTTAAGTTCCTAGGGGTTCAAATTTCGGAGAGCCTCAGCTGCACACACCACTGCAGCAGTTAAAATGGCCCAGCAGCGACTACACTTCATGAGGGTGCTTCGGAGGAACAGACTGAACAAGAAGCTGCTGGTGTCCTTCTACCGGGCGACCATCGAGAGTGTGCTGTCATTCTCCATCTCTGTGTGGTATGCTGGATGTTCAGCTGCGGACAAGAAAGCCCTGCAGAGAGTGATTAGGAAGGCAGAGAAAACCGTCGGTGGCTTTTGCACACTGGGACAGAGTTGCACTCTGAATCTCGTTGTATTTTTTGTATAATGACAATAAAAGGCTTTAACTTTAACTAAAACCAAGTGTACACTAAAGTGCATTTCCAGTCACTAAAACAAAGATGTGCTCTGCTCCCACATAGTTTTCCTTGCAAAAGTATCCAAAAGACTAAGGGCAGCAATAGACAATGCTGGAGACAACAGTGTGAAATCTATTTGACTACACATTATTATAAATAAACTACGGTCATGTTGCCGGTTAGAATGCTATGTTTACATATTCACTCACCTGTGTCTGAGACACATTACATTCAAATGTTTATCAACAAAGTTTGATTAAAACATCCAAAGGGTTATGTTTAAATCATCACAACTGACGTCAAAAAATAAGAAATAATAACCCAATTGGCCCCAGAGATGCTTATTTAATTATATATGATTTATTCTGAATAATAACTGTTTGACTAAAACAGTTATTGGGATAACTTTGTATTATTATATGGGAACATGCTCAACTTCCATGTGGCCCATTTATATGATGCCCAGAGTCTGTAACAGGCATATGGTGTTTCTTTTGTTTTAAACATTCACATTTGACTTTTGTAAGTGGCTTATTTATTGATGAATGAATATTTAGAAAATGTTACCAAATATTACAAAATTATCTTATCTTAAATAATTGCATAGCTTTTTGCTTTTACCTAGCTTTAAATGTTAATACTGCCAGTGAAAAGTAACTTTTTGGAGTTAAGATTCCCATGGGAAGCAATGTTGGGATTATAAATTAAGATATTGTGATTTAATTTGCACTATTTGCTTGTGTTTATTTAAAACATACAACATTGTAAGCACTTACCTTTAAACGGTGTGTTAAAAATGTGATCCTGGCATCCTGTTGAAGACCAAGCCGTCTCTTCCTCACTGAACTCTGTTTTCTTAATTGTCAGCCATCTCACCTGTTAGACAGAAGAATAGCCTTAATTATCAATTACACCCTGATCCTGTTCAGGATATTTCAATGTTAGCAGGTTCACAGTAGTGTCAGTCAGTTCAGTCATTCTGATGTTTAATGATGACCATTGTCACATAACTTATTGAAGCTAATGTTATCCCAACTTAATTGAATAAGAAAGTTAATAGCTAGCTTACGTTATCTGGCTAAGAAGGTATAATATTATGTATTATTTACACCACTTTTACAAAGAGAAGTGCCACATGAAATCCATGTGCACTAAAAGACTTAATGGTGTGCTGTTCACTCTCTCAGTCTTCTAACCTCATCATGTAGCGCTTGACTGTTTAGCTGAAGCTGTGAATATTTTTCAGCCAAACTCAACTCTTCAGCAGTTTGCTGGCTGTTCTGTGCTTTGCTCTCTGTTGTATCCATATCATCACTGTTGCCAGTATTTTTCATTATTTGCTCAATGAGTTTTAGCAATTTCCTTAGATGATACATTGAAATATCCTCTTCTTCATCATTTATTACATTATCCACGGATTCTGTTATTAGTCTTATTAAAGCTCGCCTTGTAATGACATTTCCACTTGAGACTTTAGCTTCATCACACACCTCTTTGAGCTGATCCAGTTGCAACCTGCTGTGCGCGTCCGGTGCTCCAGCCCTGCTCGCTCCCGTCAGGGGAAAACTCCGTCCAAGTTGGTGTCACACACAGACACGGCGAAACATTAATACCTCAGCAGTGCCTCCAATATTTGTTGCACACGTGGACACAAGAGGGATTTCCAGGCGTGCATACGTTTAAAAAACAAGACGATCTTTACTTCAGTTCTTCAATTTACGTAAAAGCAAGACTTTACATCACGTGTCTGCATGCACTCCTCTCATCCCCCGAGATGCCCCCCCCCCACGTGCCTGTGTAAACTTCACTAATGTAGGCATTGCACATGAATACACTGCATAAATATCCAAAATCCTATGGAGGAGAAATCACGTTGCTTACTTCCGGGTTTTAGGATGCGTCACTGCATCACTGCTCTGTCCTGTTTCTGAACTCACAGCACAGCTTGGTAAGAGTGGGGGAGGGGAGGGCAATCAGGTGCACGTGCACCATGCTCTGCAAATGCACGGGGAAACGAACCACAGGAATATTGCCGTTGTTAACTCCCTGCATCCTGATGCTATCTTTACTTGTACTCAAGCACAATATCTGAATACTTCTACTTTTACTCAAGTACAAGATCTGAATACTTCTACTTTTGCTCAAGTACAAGATCTGAGTACTTCTACATTTACTCAAGTATGATATCTGAGTACTTCTACTTTTACTACAAGATCTGAGTACTTCTACATTTACTCAATTACAAGACCTGAGTACTTCTACTTTGACTAAAGTACCAGACCTGGGTACTTGTACTTTTACTCAAGTACAAGATCTGAGTACTTTTACTCAAGTACCAGATAGAGTACTTCTACTTTTACTACAAGATCTGAGTACTTCTACATTTACTCAAGTACATATCTGAGTACTTTTACTCAAGTACCAGATCTGAGTACTTCCAATATTACTCAAGTACAAGATCTGAGTACTTCTACTTTTAATCAAGTACAAGATCTGAGTACTTCTACTTTTACTAAAGTACCAGACCTGAGTACTTCTACTTTTTCTTTACTACAATATCTGAGTACTTATACTTTTACTCAAGTACAATATCTGAGTACTTATACTCAAGTCCAAGATCTGTGTACTTGTACTCAAGTACAAGATCTGAGTACTTCTATATTTACTACAGGATCTGAGTACTTCTACTTTTACTAAAGTACCAGACCTGAGTAGTTCTACTTTTACTTTACTACAATATCTGAGTACTTATACTTTTACTCAAGTACAATATCTGAGTACTTATACTCAAGTCCAAGATCTGTGTACTTGTACTCAAGTACAAGATCTGAGTACTTCTATATTTACTACAAGATCTGAGTACTTCTACTTTTACTCAAGTACAAGATCTGAGTACTTCTATATTTACTACAAGATCTGAGTACTTATACTCAAGTACAAGATCTGAGTACTTATACTTTTACTAAAGTACAAGATGAATACACTGCATACATATCCAAAATCATATGGAGGAGAAATCACGTTGCGAGGGAACCAGCATATTATTTCCGGGTTTTAGGATGCCTCACTGCATCACTGCTCTGTCCTGTTTCTCACAGCACGGCTTAGTAAGAGTGGGGGAGGGGAGGGCAATCAGGTGCACGTGCACACCATGCTCTGCAAATGCACGGGGAAACGAACCACAGGAATATTGCCGTTGTTAACTCCCTGCATCCTGATGCTATCTTTACTTGTACTCAAGTACAAGATCTGAATAATTCTACTTTTACTCAAGTACAAGATCTGAGTACTTCTACTTTTACTCAATTACAAGACCTGAGTACTTATACTTTTACTCAAGTACAAGATCTGAATAATTCTACTTTTACTCAAGTACAAGATCTGAGTACTTCTACTTTTACTCAATTAAAAGACCTGGGTACTTCTACTTTTACTAAAGTACCAGACCTGGGTACTTGTACTTTTACTCAAGTACAAGATCTGAGTACTTCTACTTTTACTCCAGTACAAGATCTGAGTACTTGTACTTTTACTACAAGATCTGAGTACTTCTACTTTTACTCAAGTACAATATCTGAGTACTTCTACATTTACTCAAGTACAATATCTGAGTACTTCTACTTTTACTCCAGTACAATATCTGAGTACTTTTACTCAAGTACCAGATAGAGTACTTCTACTTTTACTACAAGATCTGAGTACTTCTACATTTACTCAAGTACAATATCTGAGTACTTCTACATTTACTCAAGTACAATATCTGAGTACTTTTACTCAAGTACAAGATCTGTGTACTTCTACATTTACTCAAGTACAATATCTGAGTACTTCTACTTTTACTACAGGATCTCAGTACTTCTACTTTTACTTAAGTACAAGATCTGAGTACTTTTACTCAAGTACAAGATATGTGTACTTCTACATTTACTCAAGTACAAGATCTGAGTACTTCTACTTTTACTCATGTACAAGATCTCAGTACTTCTACTTTTACTCAAGTACAATATCTGAGTACTTATACTTTTACTCAAGTACAAGATCTGAATAATTCTACTTTTACTCAAGTACAAGATCTGAGTACTTCTACTTTTACTCAATTAAAAGACCTGAGTACTTCTACTTTTACTAAAGTACCAGACCTGGGTACTTGTACTTTTACTCAAGTACAAGATCTGAGTACTTCTACTTTTACTCCAGTACAAGATCCGAGTACTTGTACTTTTACTACAAGATCTGAGTACTTCTACTTTTACTCAAGCACAATATCTGAGTACTTCTACATTTACTCAAGTACAATATCTGAGTACTTCTACTTTTACTCCAGTACAATATCTGAGTACTTTTACTCAAGTACCAGATAGAGTACTTCTACTTTTACTACAAGATCTGAGTACTTCTACATTTACTCAAGTACAATATCTGAGTACTTCTACATTTACTCAAGTACAATATCTGAGTACTTTTACTCAAGTACAAGATCTGTGTACTTCTACATTTACTCAAGTACAATATCTGAGTACTTCTACTTTTACTACAGGATCTCAGTACTTCTACTTTTACTCAAGTACAAGATCTGAGTACTTTTACTCAAGTACAAGATATGTGTACTTCTACATTTACTCAAGTACAAGATCTGAGTACTTCTACTTTTACTCATGTACAAGATCTCAGTACTTCTACATTTACTCAAGTACAAGATCTGAGTACTTCTACTTTTACTCATGTACAAGATCTCAGTACTTCTACTTTTACTCAAGTACAATATCTGAGTACTTCTACTTTTACTCAATTACAAGACCTGAGTACTTATACTTTTACTCAAGTACAAGATCTGAATAATTCTACTTTTACTCAAGTACAAGATCTGAGTACTTCTACTTTTACTCAATTAAAAGACCTGAGTACTTCTACTTTTACTAAAGTACCAGACCTGGGTACTTGTACTTTTACTCAAGTACAAGATCTGAGTACTTCTACTTTTACTCCAGTACAAGATCCGAGTACTTGTACTTTTACTACAAGATCTGAGTACTTCTACTTTTACTCAAGCACAATATCTGAGTACTTCTACATTTACTCAAGTACAATATCTGAGTACTTTTACTCAAGTACAAGATCTGTGTACTTCTACATTTACTCAAGTACAATATCTGAGTACTTCTACTTTTACTACAGGATCTCAGTACTTCTACTTTTACTCAAGTACAAGATCTGAGTACTTTTACTCAAGTACAAGATATGTGTACTTCTACATTTACTCAAGTACAAGATCTGAGTACTTCTACTTTTACTCATGTACAAGATCTCAGTACTTCTACTTTTACTCAAGTACAATATCTGAGTACTTCTACTTTTACTCAAGTACAAGTTCTGAGTATTTCTATATTTACTACAATATTTGAATACTTCCATTTTTACTCAAGTACAAGCTCTGAGTACTTTTACTCAAGTACAAGATCTGTGTACTTCTATATTTACTCAAGTACAAGATCTGAGTACTTCTACTTTTACTACAAGATCTGAGTATGTCTACATTTACTCAAGTACAAGATCTGAGTACTTCTACATTTACTACAAGATCTCAGTACTTCTACTTTTACTCAAGTCCAAGATCTGAGTACTTCTACTTTTACTCAAGTACAATATCTGAGTACTTCTACATTTACTACAAGATCTCAGTACTTCTACTTTTACTCAAGTACAAGTTCTGAGTACTTCTATATTTACTACAAGATCTGAATACTTCTACTTTTACTCAAGTACAAGATCTGAGTACTTTTACTCAAGTACAAGATCTGAGTACTTCTATATTTAATACAAGATCTCAGTACTTCTACTTTTACTCAAGTACAATATCTGAGTACTTATACTCAAGTACAATATCTGAGTAGGCTACTTATACTTTTACTAAAGAACAATATCTGTGTACTTCTACTTGTACTCATGTACAATATCTGAGTACTTCTACATTTACTACAAGATCTCAGTACTTCTACTTTTACTCAAGTACAATATCTGAGTACTTATACTCAAGTACAAGATCTGAGTACTTCTACATTTACTCAAGCACAAGATCTGAGTACTTCGACATTTACTATAGCCCTTAGCTGCTATGCTTAACACTTAGCTGCTTTGCTTAGCAATTGCTGCTAAGTAGCTGCTAATATTAGCACCTCTGACTTCACCCACCTCGGACCAAAAGCCTGAATATGGTAAATAATGTCTCTTAATTCACCACACTGTAGCACCCCGATTGTAAATTCTTAGCACTTAGCTGCTACACTTAGCACTGCTAAGTAGCTGATAATATTAGCAGCTACATAGGTAGCTAAAGCCTACTGAGCAGTTACAAATATTACTTACTTAATCACAATTAGAAACATATCAAGAAACAACTGTAATAAATGTGGAGGGAAACTTTGTTATAAACCAAATAATTACAATATTAAACCAAAACATATTAAATAACTTACCTGTTGCTCAAAGCAAAGTCCATGTGTTGTCATTCATATAAGTAATTCAATGCATGGGAAATGGCTGCATGAGATCTCGCAATATATCGCGGGATTACGC